ATAAAAAATGAATATAAAACAAAAGACTGAATACTAATAATATATTTATAATAAGGAGTTGTCTGATGACTTGTTATTTCGACCAATTCAAACAAATAAAAAAAATAAAGAGAAAAGTGATGATAATATTTTATCTACAGCATATTATAAAAAAAATAATAATACTGTAGTTCTTCAAGACTCTTTATCTGATAATGAAAATGATAATATTGAATCTCAAACTTCTTTGCCAGTTTATCGAAATGCTAATATTAATATATCTTCTCCACAAACATGTGATAATGATGATATTAACTCTCAAGCTTCTTCGCCACTTCATAGAAGCACTAATATTAATGCATCTTCTTCACAAATATGTGATAATGATGATATTGAATCACAAGCTTCTTTATGACTTTATAGAAGTACTAATATTAATATGTCTTTATAAACATATAATAATGTTGATATTGAATCTCAAGCTTCTTCGCCAGTTTATAGAAGTAATAATATTAATACACCTCTTCCAATTTTTTCAACACATAATGATGATATGCCAGCTTCTTTCTTAGGTATATATTAGTAAAAAGGACCTATAAGTAATAAATATTTCTAATAATTTTATTTATTAGTAGATAGCTTAACTTTAAAGCGACCAACACAATTTCAACAATTTAACAATGAATTCAAAATTGCTTTATGGTTGGCACATCACAAAAGAATAATCGACTTAGCTATCAATATCAGAAATGAAATGATGACAAAAATAGATGAAGAGAATAATAGACTTTCAACATCTACTATATCAGACGAATCTGTATCAAAATTTTCAGAAATTGATCAAATAAGATATATACACTACGTATCAAAATATTAAGTTTTAATTATATTTTATTTTTTTTTAGAAAACTTATATAGATTTTTATTATTAAGATATTATATGATAATTATGCTAACTTTTAATTTTAAATCTAGTATACTAAATTCCAATTACAAGAAGAGTGCAAAGTACTGTTTTTGCGAACT